GTCTGCTAGAGTGATCGACTTATGTATACCTTCTTAGTGGAGTCCAAATTGCATATCGATCGCTGGAGTTTCTTTACTGTTTTAATACCACAATGCTGTCGTTGGTCCCAAAGCCTCGGAGCGATATATCAGAACTGGCCGCCAAGGTGAGAGAACTTGGGCTGTCTTCCGTATGCTATTTAATCATATCACAGATATCGGCTCGTATAACGGCGAAGTCGGGTCCTCCCGTCGTGGTTCGCAGTGTTGGCGATTTCGTCGCTCTCCACAACACTGACGTTTTCAGAGGACTCAGCGTCGGTTTCGTAAGTGGGTGTTGTGAGGGGGACTATCCGCTAGTAGAGATAGCAGTAGAGCAGAGAGAAGGTTTGATCACCCCAATGGCTGTACCGCAGTTCTCGATTGTCGCTGGGTCTCGAGTATTGTGATAGCACTGCGCAAATTGTATAGTCCTCACCGTATGCGGTACCTATACTGACAACGGCCTGTTATAATCGATATGGCTGTGATTTGTTCGTCTATTGGTTTCCCAAGGGGCGCAAGCTCGGATCATTCCTCTCACACTGGAACATCGACCTGCGCCTTGTCGTCAGCTCGTGCGTATCATCGAATTTGGCAATATTGTCGTTACGATGGTCGTCTCAGGTGCCTACGATGGGTTCACTCCACTCGGGCCATATGAAGCTCATTGCTACTGCGAGGCCCAATCATGATGTTCTTGTGGTGTCGATATTCGTCAACCCAGCGCAGTTCTCCCCTGAGGAGGACTATGAGCAGTAAGTATCCGTAAATCACTAGGAACGTGACACAGTGGAAATCGTCTTTGATTAAGCTAGTGACTTGTCCGTGGGGTTTCACATGTAGGAATCTAGTAGACGTAGCTCGCTATCTCTCGATGAACCGGCGCTCCCCCACTACATTCGGTATCAGGTATCCCAGGGATCTCGAGGGCGACCTCAAGAAGCTCGAAACCGAATCGGCTGGTGTCGATGTTGTCTTTGCGCCGGAGCCTGCTGATATGTATCCGAAGAATCCACGAGCGATAGTGGTAGTATTGGGAATGCTCGGTTGTTTCAATGCTGTTGAGGTCTCTGAATTGTTCCGTTTTCCAGCCCAGCGTAACGGTCGAGCCTAATTTCGTGAACGGCCTTTCGGAAGCAGCATGCAGGCCGACGTTCTTCCGCGGAGTGGCCACTGTTGTTATGAAGTTGTTCAACATAATCAGACCCGAACGAGCATATTTTGGACAGAAGGTGTTGCGAGGCGCTCTTGAGGAGTAGAGCGACGTCGATCTCCTGCAGGACGCTATGCAAGTCAGTGTTATCATCTCTATGGTCAAGGACTTGAATGTTCCAGTTGAACTCGAGGTGGTACAGAAGCAGGGGTCTCGAGCATCACAAGCTTCGCTCCGTCGTCTCAGGTGGTTCCGACAGCTCGGGAGGCGGACGGCCTAGCCTCCAGCAGCCGCAATGTGTATCTCACCCCGGCAATGCGAGAGAAAGCCACCATCTTATACAAGTAGAAGGTTGCGGCTGTAGGGAACGTCATCTGTGGCTAGGTCACTGTGTGCTGCTTACGACATGGTGAAGTCGGCGAGCAAGCCTGTGAAGGCATCCGAGGTCGAAGATGTGGTCAAAAGGACTCTCCTCGCTGAGCCCATGGTCCTAGGGATCGAGTAATGCCGGAGTTCAGATCGCTGTTCTGCTCAGAGTGGTTGCTCTTTCCACTTGTCGACGATCGTGGCTCAGGTATATTAGCGTGGCTTCCGTCGAGACTGCGCAGGAAGTGGAGACCATCCAGTTCGGACCTGAGGCAGAGCCCGTACTACTACCAGAGCGGTGCGGTGAGGGGTCATGGTCATCGGCTCAGGTGTTGGTCGCAATTGCTGTGAAGTACGGCGGTGCCAATCTACGCTTGATCGATAACATGTGGATGGACAACCAGAAGCACGCATAGATGCGCTGTTTCCGCATTATAATGCAGTATTCCTAACTTTACCAAGGAAGCAGAAATGCTTGGCGAACAACTCCTACAATGTTCTCGGATGAGACTCTCGGTTGCGTTAGTGAGAGTAGAAGGGAGGGAGCAGTCACGATGGTAGGGCAAACCTCTTCATGCAGTTGGAAGATACTTGGGCTGTATTTATCTCGGATGTTATGGCCGCTGCTTCTCACAGGCGGCGGACTCGTCGGTCTCAACTATCATGCGGCCAAGGAGCTCGAAGACAGCAAGGGCTCTAGCAGGTACGAGTGCTTTATACGAAATAAGATAAGCATTATGGCGAAATTTTACTGTGAATTCGATGTTCCTGGGATCTTTATTTTTACGTATTACATTTAGCTGGTGACTTCAAACTAGCGCGCACATGCATTACGTCCCGACAATGCGCTTTCTGGAGGTCGCCGTTTGGGAGATGAGGCGTAAGCGTATTGTCTGACTTCAGTTCGTCCCGGACCGCTACTTTCATCCCCACGTTCGCGCTTGGGCTCATCACTGGTCTTTGGATGGGAGTCACGTTTGGACCCTGGTTCTCACGGGTGAGGAGCTGTGTTATCATAGAATGAACTGAGTCGTCCCTGAGTGCATGCCTTGGTCAGACGTGGTCAACTGTAGACTCTTGGTTACGTTGGTTGCGATTTGCCCCGTCCCTCCCACCCTCGAGATCCAACGAGCCGCCGCCCCCTCGCAGCGACTACCCCTATGGACACCCTTACTCATCACAACCCGTTCCACCATCGTATGGGCAGCAGGGCCCACCGTCTTATGGCCATCCCTACGCTGTGGACCCCCACTATCAACAGCAGATGAATGGTGGGCAAGCTCCGCGTTATGCGTGACTTCTCTACAATTACACGGTGACTGCACTGCCAGCATAGTGATGTAGGATATATATGCATTCAGTACCATTTGATAAAACTTCTGTCCGGCGAAGTTGGGCTTGCGTTCCAACCAGTAGTGTTAATTGAAAAACACCTCTCCACTACCACACAACGCAAGAAGCCGCTTCAGAACAAGAATGGAAATCATGACATTCAGTACTTTCTACGTGGAGCCTCATTACACTCGTTGTTCTGTGGGAGGCTGGACACTCTAGTAGGCCGAGAATGAACAGGATGTCCCATCCAACGACCGCGATTATTGACCTGCCACCAACTCGCTAGGTGGGAGCGCCGAGAAATGATCCCACCGGCTTCCGCTTGGGATCGCTTTTTTTCTTTGGAGCAGAGGCACGTACCAATGGCAGAGAGTCATTATTGATCTAACGCCGCGCTCTTCCTCGTGGGCCGGCGGCTGATCTCACCCGTTTGATAAAGGCTGCATACTGAGCCTGTTGTCGACTACTGACACCTTTGCCTTGAGCCTCTGAGGAGCTGATGCCGAAGTGGCATAGAATAAAGTCGTTGGGCGGGGGTTGACGCCAATGCTTGATGAGAAGAGGCGATAGGTCTTCTTCCGACAGGTAACACGCCGAGTCGGCCGCGTCGTTCTGAAGGGGACGCTTCCGTAAGACTTTTTAGAGTATATAAACCTCGGGTTTTCGGTCGATGGGAAGCTCCCTAGAATGCGCATGTGGTTGTCTGAGACACTCGAGCAGGTCGCGAAGATGGCAGACCAGATGGTCGCTGTGGGGGTCTCCTGAGAGCGAGGTTTCGTCGGGATTGACCGGGATGGGAAGCTACGGGATAAGGCATCTAGTTGATCCTCTATCACTTGTTCGATACCCAGGGCATCTAACTCGCGTCTGATGTCAACTAAGAGGGCAAGCTGATCCTGGTCACGAAGCCATCTTACGGGAGGTCTCCGATGGTGCACCGACTAGAAGGTAGCCGATGAGCTCATACGTCGACTCACAGATGATATTGTCATCAGAGGCTATCAGAGACACCAGGATCTGCACTTGCGCTCACTGAAGCGTTGTTGAGCTTAGTATACCCCTAGAAAGCCATGGTCGCTGCTGAGCCTTGTGATGCCTTCTTGACGGGTGCAGAGACACACCACCAATGCTAAGCCCCATCGAACGCCGAATCGAGACATCGTGCCCTGCTCGATACGAGTCATCATCTCCTCCACCAAATCTGAGGCGAATGCTCCAAGTGGAGGGCCGCCGGCGGATAGTTACTCTCTCGCAACATGATCGTCTGGGCATGGTAGCGCATGGAGAGCCTTTGCAGTGCAGCCAGGGAGTGCATGAATGCTGGGGAATCATAGGGGGCCTGTAGCATGTTGTGGACCAGCTGTATGAGAACCTGTATGGCAGTGTCCACTCAGGACAGCTCTGCTCTAGACCCACGCCGGATTCAGCGGCCATGAACCAGCGCCCTATGGCCTCGCAGGAGATGATGGCTATAACACACGCTGTGAGATCAGACACTATCACGTCTGGACAGCGAAGGAGGTCCAAGAGGAGGGGGTCGCCAGTGGCGGCCAGGTCTCCAAAGGCCTGCCAAAAGGGCAGTCTAAGGCTGTCAGCAGCGGAGGCGCACTACCCCCAAGCCAATGAGGCCAAAAATGCATGAACGCCGCTTGCGGATGGGCTCGTATGGCGAAGCAATATGGCGAACTATCGAACGGAGCTGGAGGAAAAAGATGACAACGGTGAGCGGAGCGATCCTTACAGCGGGTATCATGGCTTCAGTAGAATCCCGCATACTGTGGAGGTAATGAGAAAGCTGTTGAATGTCTATAGGAGGGCATTGGACTGGTGGGACTGCCGAGGCGAGAGCAGCAGCGGAGTGCCCTTCCTCGAGACCCTGAATGGACCAGTTCGCTCCAGATGTAATGGCTCCCGATATTTCCACAGTCAAGACGTACCTGTCGATGGCCGAGGTCCCTTCGCCTCGACTGGCCAGCACTGGATGGCGTGCCTGCAAGGAGCCGCCATATGCGAGGTCGGGTCGTTCGAACATACGAGGGACGGGGAGTCTGTCGATGGGCAACCCTTCGAGGCCCTCCAACATTTCATGTTCGAAGGCTGGGTCTCTTGAGTGGTCTGCTGAGGGAGCCGTACCTAGACCAGCTGATGGTGTAGCTAGAATGGACCTCTCGTACCAAGCAACATCGCTTTTGATCCCGCCCTCATGCGCTCGAGTTGCTGATGGGCCTCCATGACCTGCACACCAAGCATGCCTCGTAACACTCTGGGCTGCTCATCCGAGTGGCCACCTTCCTCGGGTCATGGAAGTACTCAGAGCTCGGGTCACTCTGTAAGGCTCTGAGACCAATTTCTGCCAATCGGTAGAGGTCAGCTGCCATCTCAGGGTCCGCGGCCGAGCCATGTAGGGATGCCGGATCACCCTGGGGGGAGCTTCTGATGGGTTCGTCCATGGTAGGCTACCATGGCATAGCCGTAGATCTCCGCTTTCGTCGCGGCATTGTTAGGGGAGAAGCCGTGATCCACCTGTTGCACCTTCGCAATGGAGTAGACTAAAGGCACCTGAACTACTGCAGACTGTAGACATCTCACTCAAGCCTGTACGGTCCCACCCGTCTCCTCCCTGGCGGTATGTCCGCGATGGTTCTCTGAAGCTCCGCACGCACGTTGGCCCTCCATTGCTCAGTGAAGATCTAAGACGACCCTACGTGGCCTGCATTCCTTCTCGGACTACTTGCTGGGTCAGCTCGTGCGTGTGCGGCGCGTCGATATAAGGCAGCACATAGTAGGGCATGAGTTCGCTCAAGCTGTCGCTGGAGAGTCGCCTTTGCTTCCCGAGGAAGCCGTATAGGCACTCCAGTCATGGTCCGCCTGGGAC